CTCATTTGTGGCAGCACCAGTAAAGGCGGAAACACGAAGATGATTCCGAACACTATCAACTAACTTAGTTTGTTGGGGTGCAAGGTATAGCTGGAGTTTGATGATTGATAGTGCTGATGCTGATGGTAATGACTAATGTACCCAGCTCTATGCACGAACCTATACATGACTGGTGGTGCTAGCTATTCTAGTACTGGCCCTGGGTGCAACTCATCATCTCTTCCATGCCAGTGTGTATGCCTCATGTTCTGCACAACGTGTATTTCCTTTGTCATGGATAAATACTCTGATCGACCTACTTGCGCAATCTTCTTATGCTTCCCACTTGGTTGCTGCGCTGTGCAGTTCTTCATCTGCTGCGACACATACTAGTATACCTCATCTTCTGTCTTTCTGGTCAATTAGGTACATGTATTCAGCTTCTTGATCTTCTTGTGGTGAGGATCATCTTGATCTTACTTCTTGTGTAACTCTTGCAAAGGCAGTAATGGAGGATACTCTACCGGTAATCAGCAACCGCTTATGGAGAATGCCAGGTCGAGGGACGGCCAGGAAAAAACAATTGCTGTATTGAATGTGCATTCATCAGCGTGTTTTAAGATCAGGACAACTAAGTTCGCCACTACACCAACTTTTTGGCTACATAGGAGCAATGATGATGATGGCCGTGTTTGACTTTGTCAGCTTTCGTGCTACCAGCCACCACATGTCAACATTGTCATACTCGTACTGATAAGGAAGAAAAAACCCACACACGCACGCACCCGTACACACGTACACACACACACACACACATGGATACACTGACAGGCATGCGAAGCAAGAGAGACAGAGAGTCAGGCAGCGAAAGAGAAGTGAGACTACTTGTAGGTTATGGGCACGGTGCTCCAATTTCTGCCCAGCTGAAGTAAAATCCATGTACACTATTTTCGTGTAGTGTTCATTGACGGTGCCAGCCACTGGTGAGTGACCCAGTGGTTTAGGTGTTGACATTCAGCACACATCACATTTCAGTCTCCAACGTAAATTCAGTCAAAACAACACTGCACTGCAGCAACATGGGAACATGCTTCTCCCAGGCCCACCATGCAAGTGCAGTCTGCGCCAAGAACAATTCCAGGTAATTCAGCAGCTACCCAAGGATGGACAGGTTCGGCAAAAACACTCCGCGAGTGCCTGACGTTTGCAAACGAATTTTGTTGACAGTTGTTGTTTCTTCCTTCGATTGGGCAAGACACGATAATGTGCCAACCCAGCCAGCAATGAGACACATGCATTTGTATCCATCAGGGCTATTGGAAGCCTTTAGAGAGTCCTTTGCATATGTGCTGGGGACATTCACTAAATATTTAGAGAGGCCTGGATACCCAACGCAGGGGGATTGGCTGAAAGGTCTTCGTCCATAGGTAAATATGGATCAATGTACTGGGCCCACGGATTCTGTCAATCTTCTCGCGGCAACGCCTCTTCAAGGCTGGAATAAACAGTAGAGTAACTGCGGCTAGTAATCCTCGCGACTTACCGAAAGTATTCACCACATCAAAGAAAAGCAAAAGTGCTTCACCACTGCGACGGCCTGCAACATCATTTTGAACCGTACACCGAACAACACATTTGATCCTCTTTTTGCCACCCAAGCACATTTTACCGTGGGACACGGACTTGTCTTATGGGTGATCTTTGGGTGGACACCGGGAAGGCGTCAAAAAGGTGATGTAATGGAAAGTCCTCTATAGTAGTGATCTACTCGGCTATCAGTATTGCTGAGCCTCTTTGTATCTGAATTGGGGAAATGACGTAAGTGACCAACAATCAGGCACAGTGCAATGTCACACAGTCGCTCAGATTATGAGATTCAATGTTTCGGTCAAAATGACCATCTCCTGGATGAAATAAACAATGAACATGTTACCTTTAAACCTTATACATTTAGTTATGGAATCAGATAACAAACTTCCATCGTGATACTGTATCTTTGTCTCCAGTACAATGTCCAGCTGTTTCTGCTTCTGGACTCAATTACAAACCCATTGCCACCAACAGCACACGGCCAGGTACTATGGTATATATCGAGTGTGCACTGGGATATGTGTCTGACAATGGTATGGCAATCACCAACACTAAATGTCAGAACACTGGAGTATGGCAACCAAGTCTGCCATTGTGTGACAGTAAGTCTTTACAGGCTCTAGCGTCGACAACGCTCGTATACCAGAGATGCAACAAACTATCGTCTTTAGGATCAAATATTCTCTGTTTTCTCGCCTCACATATACTAGCACACACAGAGACATAGGCAGCAACAGTGACAACACACAAAGTGAAGGATAGTTGACCGCAGCCAGATGTGACTGGGTAGTTGGCCGGAGCCAGATGTGAACCGGATAACAAGCGAGGTATGGAAGCAACCACTGAGAACAGAGTGTCCCAGATAGAATAGGCTAGCCAGTGGATAGCAGAAATAAGCCATGATGCAGAACCACTTGGGACTGTCAGATTAATTTTCCTGGAATGAGCACACCGGGAAAGAACCCTCACGACGATGGACGCAGTGGTGAGGGATAAACACGGGTGTATATCTCACATGGCGATCAGGCATCATTTAGGCATGGCACGCACATCACGGTAAAAAGTGATCAATAAAGCAATGAAACCAAGCGCAGAAATGAAGGGTGGGAGGGCAGGGACACTGGTGAAACTCAAAACTGACTGAAGAAGTCAGGAAAAGAAGAGGCTCAGCCGGCGAGAAATACATCTTTCCAGAGGACGAATAGTCAAGAATTGCCGATTATTATCTGTGCTAGGCTAGCTAATTATGGAACATGCTACCGTATACGTGAAAGAACGTGATTAATTTTGAAAGGACTGGGCGAACATCAAAATCACATGATCTGTGGGCGAAATGAACTGCCGGAAACGAGAAATCACAGGCATTTTCCTGGAATAGGTTAGAGGCCACTGGTTGCAAATTTTAAGTCATCAGAGTGGCGGAGGTCGTCGTAGCACTTTTTCTTTAAGGTCTGAATTGGCTCCCCGGAAGGGCGAGGCTGGGAGGCCATTTCAGGTCTCAATCATGGAGTGTGGAAGGAATTGAAAGACATCGTTCCGGACTGAGGTATGGCAATATTTGGCAGCTGCAATGGATGGAGGCTCGCGATTGTGCGGATGTTTGCTCCCGTGCTAGGCCTGGCTGGGTATGCAGCTGGCGGGGTAGATACTTCGAAGCAGTAATGTTGTTAGTATCGCAAGGCCATGCAAGTAGTTGTTAGTATGGCAAGGCCATGCAAGTAGTTGTTAGTATGCCAAGACCAGTCAAGTAGTTGAGCTTGAAGAGGTATAAGAGGGCAGCCACATTGCAACGGATATCTACACAAGTCAGGTAACACCCATCACCCGCGAGATGGAGTGCCCTATGGTGAATGGCGGGAATCTTGTCTAGTACAGAGGATGTTGAGCTCATCTCTACGAGCACACCACACTCCAGGATCGACAAGACGAAGCCACAAACAACTACGTCGTGAAAGTAGGAGTTGAGGGCGAGAACACTCTTGTGAGTGCCTGGCCAGATCTTTACTAGCCAGTAGCAACCTGTCACTGCAGATTTATACCAAACCTCAACAAACGCAGAAGAGGGAATCGAGGAAAGGGAACTAATCTGGCGAGATGTGGGCTTCGAATACTGCCAGAGTGTCGAATTCCTAATAACCAGCAGCACGATGTCTAACACGAGAGCCACAGAAACACGCAATGCAAGAACACAACAGAGAAAACGAAATCCTATACGGTGAGGGCGGCTTCTGGACGAGACAGCTGGACACCTCTTTTGTTGTCCGGGTCACTCACTCAAAGGCACACTTGCTGTCGTGCCAAAACGTCGTTGGCCTCCTCCAAACCCATGAAAAATGGAAGAAAGGCAATACGGAGAGCGCGCAAAAACAGTTGACCATGGATTATTTGCGCTCCTTGTTTTCTCCAACTCTAGGATGGTTGGTAGGGAATGTTCCGTGTTCCTGAAGACCCTGGGGAGTCTGCTGCATTATCCGGTTGCGATGAATAACCTGAGCGGAAAATATTCACAAAAAACACCATCAAAATCAGCTACAGTTGCATGCCAAATATGGCTGCACTCATCAAAAGCCACAAAAAAGCGGTTCTCTCCCCGAAAACTAAAAAAAACGGAAAAGCCCTGCAACTGCCGAGACAAGTCAGCTTGTCCACTCACCGGTGAATGCCAAATGACGGAGCTGATATATGTAGCATCCATAACGTCAGGCCCCACCAAGAAGGAATACACCAGTATGTCGGCGCCACCGTTCAAGTCACGCCATGCCAACCACATGACAACAACAAGATACGAGAAGTACTCCAGCACCACTGAGCTCTCCAACTACATCTGGAACCTTAAGTATTTTGTATTTATATCATTATCTCATGGCACATCATGATGACGGCCAATAAAACTGAGACAAGGGTGAAAGCCAACCACAGCAGTAAAACAGATAAAAGAATACAAATAAGAGGCAAAGAAGGCAAAGGAGGAGACAAACCAGCAGGATATACATGAAACCTATAATTGAGCAGAGATTTTAGCAACAAAATTATCCATCGACGTGCTGGTCTTGGCCTGCGTTGGTAATGTTTAAGTAATCCAACACCCATTACGAAGTCGAATGGAGGATAAAAGATCGCGCCCGGGCATACTCCAATATCACGAAGCGGTGTTCCCTCTGTACCGGAGAAAAGTATCACATCCTGAACACGCTAGGGTCACCATCCAGCCTCAACAAGTGCTCAGAAATGGTGTCCAAGTGCCGAAACAAGAACGAGTATCTCCTCAAAACCACAGTGTGACCTAAACATGTCTCCACAGCCTCCTGCCCACACCATTCACGCTCACTCACCTTGCTCATAACACCCTGCCCACACCATTCACGTTCACACACCTTGCTCATAACACCCTCCCCACACGATTCAAGATCACAAACCTTGCTCATAACACAATGCCCACACCTTTCACGTTCATACACCTTGCTCATAACAACCTGCCCACACCATTCACGTTCACACACCTTGCTCATAATACCCTGCCCACACCATTCACGCTAACGCACCTGGATCATACCACCGTGCCCACACCTTTCACGTTCATACACCTTGCTCATAACACCCTGCCCACACCATTCACGTTCACACACCTTGCTCATAACACCCTGCCCACACCATTCACGTCCTCACACCTTGCTCATAACAACCTGCCCACACCATTAACGTTCACACATCTTGCTCATGACACCCAGCCCACACCATTCACGTTCACACACCTTGCTCATAACACCCTGCCCACACCATACACGCTCCCGCACCTTGCTAAAAACACCCTGCCAACAACATTCACGTTCACACACATTGCTCATAACACTCTGCCCTCACCATTCACTATCACACACCTTGCTCATAACCCCCTGCCCACACCATTCACTCCAACGCACCTTGCTCACAACACCCTGCCCACACCATTTACATTCGAACACCTTGCACATAACACCCTGCCAACACCATTCACGTTCACACACCTTGCTCAAAACACCCTGCCTACACCATTCACGTTCACACACCTTGCTCATAACACCCTGCCCACACCTTTCACGTTCACACACCTTGCTCATAACACCCTGCCCACACCATTCACGTTCACACACCTTGCTCATAACACCCTGCCCACACCGTTCACGTTCTCACAACTAGCTCAAAACACCCTGCCCACACCATTCACGTTCACACACCTTCCTCATAACACCCTGCCCACACCATTCACGTTAACAAACCTAGGTCACAACACCCTGCTCACACCATTCACGTTCACACACCTTGCTCATCACACCCTGCCCACACCATTCACGTTCAATCACCTTGCCAGTAACACCCTGCCCACACCATTCACGTTCACACACCTTGCTCATAAGACCCTGCCCACACCATTCACGTTCAAACACCTTGCTCGCAACACCCTGTCTACACCATTCACGTTCACACACCTAGCTCAAAACACCCTGCCCACACCATTCAAGTTCACACACCTTCCTCATAACACCCTGCCCACACCGTTCACGTTCACACACCTTGCTCAAAACACCCTGCCCACAACATTCACGTTCACACACCTTACTCATAACACCCTGCCCACACCGATCACGTTCACACACCTTGCTCATAATACCCTGCCCACACCATTCACGTTCACACCCCTTGCTCATAACACCCTGCCCACACCATTCACGTTCACACACCTTGCTCATAACACCCTGCACACACCATTCACGTCCTCACACCTTGCTCATAACAACCTGCCCACACCGTTAACGTTCCCACATTTTGCTCATGACATCCAGCCCACACCATTCACGTTCACACACCTTGCTCATAACACCCTGCCCACACCATACACGCTCCCGCACCTTGCTAAAAACACCCTGCCCACAACATTCACGTTCACACACATTGCTCATAACACTTTGCCCTCACCATTCACTATCACACACCTTGCTCATAACCCCCTGCCCACACCATTCACTCCCACGCACCTTGCTCACAAAACCCTGCCCAAACCATTTACGTTCACACTCCTTGCTCATAACACCCTGCCAACACCATTCACGTTCACACACCTTGCTCAAAACACCCTGCCCACACCATTCACGTTCACACACCTTGCTCATAACACCCTGCCCACACCATTCACGCTTACGCACCTGGCTCATAACACCCTGCCCACACCTTTCACGTTCACACACCTTGCTCATAGCACCCTGCCCACACCATTCACGTTCACATACCATGCTCATAACACCCTGCCGACAACATTCACGTTCACACACCTTGCTCATAACACCATGCCCACACCATTCACGTTCACACACCTTGCTCATAATACCCTGCCCACACCGATCACGTTCACACACCTTGCTCATAACACCCTGCCCACACCATTCACGTTCACACACCTTGCTCATAACACCCTGCCCACACCATTCACGTTCACACACCTTGCTCATAACACCCTGCCAACACCATTCACGTTCACACAACTTTCTCATAACACCCTGCCCACACCATTCACGCTCACACACCTTGCTCATAACACCCTGCCCACACTGATCACGTTCACACACCTTGCTCATAACACCCTGCCCACACCATTCACGTTAACAAACCTAGGTCACAACAACCTGCTCACACCATTCACGTTCACACACCTTGCTCTACACACCCTGCCCACACCATTCACGTTCAATCACCTTGCTAATAACACCCTGCCCACACCATTCACGTTCACACACCTAGCTCATAAGACCCTGCCCACACCATTCACGTTCAAACACCTTGCTCACAACACCCTGTCTACACCATTCACGTTCACACACCTAGCTCAAAACACCCTGCCCACACCATTCAAGTTCACACACCTTCCTCATAACACCCTGCCCACACCGTTCACGTTCACACACCTTGCTCAAAACACCCTGCCCACAACATTCACGTTCACACACCTTACTCATAACACCATGCCAACACCATTCACGTTCACACACCTTGCTCATAATACCCTGCCCACACCATTCACGCTAACGCACCTGGATCATACCACCGTGCCCACACCTTTCACGTTCACACACCTTGCTTATAACACCCTGCCCACACCATCCACGTTCACACACCTTGCTCATAACACCCTGCACACACCATTCACGTCCTCACACCTTGCTCATAACAACCTGTCCACACCATTAACGTTCACACATCTTGCTCATGACACCCAGCCCACACCATTCACGTTCACACACCTTGCTCATAACACCCTGCCCACACCATTCACGTTCACACACCTTGCTCATAACACCCTGCCCACACCATACACGCTCCCGCACCTTGCTAAAAACACCCTGCCAACAACATTCACGTTCACACACATTGCTCATAACACTCTGCCCTCACCATTCACTATCACACACCTTGCTCATAACCCCCTGCCCACACCATTCACTCCAACGCACCTTGCTCACAACACCCTGCCCACACCATTTACATTCGAACACCTTGCACATAACACCCTGCCAACACCATTCACGTTCACACACCTTGCCCAAAACACCCTGCCTACACCATTCACGTTCACACACCTTGCTCATAACACCCTGCCCACACCTTTCACGTTCACACACCTTGCTCATAACACCCTGCCCACACCATTCACGTTCACACACCTTGCTCATAACACCCTGCCCACACCGTTCACGTTCTCACAACTAGCTCAAAACACCCTGCCCACACCATTCACGTTCACACATCTTCCTCATAACACCCTGCCCACACCATTCACGTTAACAAACCTAGGTCACAACACCCTGCTCACACCATTCACGTTCACACACCTTGCTCATCACACCCTGCCCACACCATTCACGTTCAATCACCTTGCCAGTAACACCCTGCCCACACCATTCACGTTCACACACCTTGCTCATAAGACCCTGCCCACACCATTCACGTTCAAACACCTTGCTCGCAACACCCTGTCTACACCATTCACGTTCACACACCTAGCTCAAAACACCCTGCCCACACCATTCAAGTTCACACACCTTCCTCATAACACCCTGCCCACACCGTTCACGTTCACACACCTTGCTCAAAACACCCTGCCCACAACATTCACGTTCACACACCTTACTCATAACACCATGCCAACACCATTCACGTTCACACACCTTGCTCATAATACCCTGCCCACACCGATCACGTTCACACACCTTGCTCATAATACCCTGCCCACACCATTCACGTTCACACCCCTTGCTCATAACACCCTGCCCACACCATTCACGTTCACACACCTTGCTCATAACACCCTGCACACACCATTCACGTCCTCACACCTTGCTCATAACAACCTGCCCACACCGTTAACGTTCCCACATCTTGCTCATGACATCCAGCCCACACCATTCACGTTCACACACCTTGCTCATAACACCCTGCCCACACCATACACGCTCCCGCACCTTGCTAAAAACACCCTGCCCACAACATTCACGTTCACACACATTGCTCATAACACTTTGCCCTCACCATTCACTATCACACACCTTGCTCATAACCCCCTGCCCACACCATTCACTCCCACGCACCTTGCTCACAAAACCCTGCCCAAACCATTTTACGTTCACACTCCTTGCTCATAACACCCTGCCAACACCATTCACGTTCACACACCTTGCTCAAAACACCCTGCCCACACCATTCACGTTCACACACCTTGCTCATAACACCCTGCCCACACCTTTTACGCTTACGCACCTGGCTCATAACACCCTGCCCACACCTTTCACGTTCACACACCTTGCTCATAGCACCCTGCCCACACCATTCACGTTCACATACCATGCTCATAACACCCTGCCGACAACATTCACGTTCACACACCTTGCTCATAACACCATGCCCACACCATTCACGTTCACAAACCTTGCTCATAATACCCTGCCCACACCGATCACGTTCACACACCTTGCTCATAACACCCTGCCCACACCATTCACGTTCACACACCTTGCTCATAACACCCTGCCCACACCATTCACGTTCACACACCTTGCTCATAACACCCTGCCAACACCATTCACGTTCACACAACTTTCTCATAACACCCTGCCCACACCATTCACGCTCACACACCTTGCTCATAACACCCTGCCCACACTGATCACGTTCACACACCTTGCTCATAACACCCTGCCCACACCATTCACGTTAACAAACCTAGGTCACAACAACCTGCTCACACCATTCACGTTCACACACCTTGCTCATCACACCCTGCCCACACCATTCACGTTCAATCACCTTGCTAATAACACCCTGCCCACACCATTCACGTTCACACACCTAGCTCATAAGACCCTGCCCACACCATTCACGTTCAAACACCTTGCTCACAACACCCTGTCTACACCATTCACGTTCACACACCTAGCTCAAAACACCCTACCCACACCATTCACGTTCACACACCTTCCTCATAACACCCTGCCCACAACATTCACGTTCACACACCTTGCTCATAACACCATGCCCACGCCATTCACGTTCACACACCTTGCTCATAATACCCTGCCCACACCGGTCACGTTCACACACCTTGGTCATAAAACCCTGCCCACACCATTCACGTTCACACACCTTGCCCATAACACCCTGCCCACACCATTCACGTTCACACACCTTGCTCATAACACCCTGCACACACCATTCACGTCCTCACACCTTGCTCATAACAACGTGCCCACACCATTAACGTTCACACATCTTGCTCATGACATCCAGCCCACACCATTTACGTTCACACACCTTGCTCATAACACCCTGCCCACACCATACACGCTCCCGCACCTTGCTAAAAACACCCTGCCCACACCATTTACATTCACACACCTTGCTCATAACACCCTGCCCACACCATTTACATTCGAATACCTTGCACATAACACCCTGCCAACACCATTCACGTTCACACACCTTGCTCAAAACACCCTGCCCACACCATTCACGTTCACACACCTTTCTCATAACACCCTGCCCACACCTTTCACGTTCACACACCTTGCTCAAAACACCCTGCCCACACCATTCACGTTCACACACCTTTCTCATAACACCCTGCCCACACCATTCACGTTCAAACACCTTGCTCACAACACCCTGTCTACACCATTCACGTTCACACACCTAGCTCAAAACACCCTACCCACACCATTCACGTTCACACACCTTCCTCATAACACCCTGCCCACACCATTCACGTTCAAACACCTTGCTCAAAACACCCTGCCCACAACATTCACGTTCACACACCTTGCTCATAACACCATGCCCACACCATTCACGTTCACACACCTTGCTCATAATACCCTGCCCACACCGGTCACGTTCACACACCTTGGTCATAAAACCCTGCCCACACCATTCACGTTCACACACCTTGCTCATAACACCCTGCCCACACCATTCACGTTCACACACCTTGCTCATAACACCCTGCACACACCATTCACGTCCTCACACCTTGCTCATAACAACCTGCCCACACCATTAACGTTCACACATCTTGCTCATGACATCCAGCCCACACCATTTACGTTCACACACCTTGCTCATAACACCCTGCCCACACCATACACGCTCCCGCACCTTGCTAAAAACACCCTGCCCACACCATTTACATTCACACACCTTGCTCATAACACCCTGCCCACACCATTTACATTCGAATACCTTGCACATAACACCCTGCCAACACCATTCACGTTCACACACCTTGCTCAAAACACCCTGCCCACACCATTCACGTTCACACACCTTTCTCATAACACCCTGCCCACACCTTTCACGTTCACACACCTTGCTCATAACACCCTGCCCACACCATTCACGTTCACACACCTTGCTCATAACACCCTGCCCACACCGTTCACGTTCACACAACTAGCTCAAAACACCCTGCCCACACCATTCACGTTCACACACCTTACTTATAACACCCTGCCCACACCATTCACGTTAACAAACCTAGGTCACAACACCCTGCTCACACCATTCACGTTCACACACCTCGCTCATCACACCCTGCCCACACCATTCACGTTCAATCACCTTGCAAATAACACCCTGCCCACACCATTCACGTTCACACACCTTGCTCATAAGACCCTGCCCACACCATTTACGTTCAAACACCTTGCTCACAACACCCTGTCTACACCATTCACGTTCACACACCTAGCTCAAAACACCCTACCCACACCATTCACGTTCACACACCTTGCTCATAACACCATGCCCACACCATTCACGTTCACACACCTTGCTCATAATACCCTGCCCACACCGATCACGTTCACACACCTTGCTCATAACACCCTGCCCACACCATTCATGTTCACACACCTTGCTCATAACACCCTGCCCACACCATTCACGTTCACACACCTTGCTCATAACACCCTGCACACACCATTCACGTCCTCACACCTTGCTCATAACAACCTGCCCACACCATTAACGTTCACACATCTTGCTCATGACATCCAGCCCACACCATTTACGTTCACACACCTTGCTCATAAAACCCTGCCCACACCATACACGCTCCCGCACCTTGCTAAAAACACCCTGCCCACAACATTCACGTTCACACACATTGCTCATAACACTTTGCCCTCACCATTCACTATCACACACCTTGCTCATAACCCCCTGCCCACACCATTCACTCCCACGCACCTTGCTCACAATACCCTGCCCACACCATTTACGTTCACACTCCTTGCTCATAAAACCCTGCCAACACCATTCACGTTCACACACCTTGCTCGAAACAACCTGCCCACACCATTCACGTTCACACACCTTGCTCATAACACCCTGCCCACACCATTCACGCTCACGCACCTGGCTCATAACACCCTGCCCACACCTTTCACGTTCACATACCATGCTCATAACACCCTGCCGACACCATTCACGTTCACACACCTAGCTCATAACACCCTGCCCACACCATTCACGTTCACACAACTTGCTCATAACACCCTGCCCACACCATACACGTTCACACACCTTGCTCATAACACCCTGCCCACACCATTTACATTCACACACCTTGCTCATAACACCCTGCCCACACCATTCACGTTCACACACCTTTCTCATAACACCCTGCCCACACCATTCACGTTCGTTCACACACATTGCTCATAACACCCTGCCCTCACCACTCACTATCACACACCTTGCTCATAACACCCTGCCCACACCATTCACGTTCACACACCTTGCTCATAACACCCTGCCCACACCATTCACGTTCACACACATTGCTCACAACACCCTGCCCTCACCATTCACTATCACACACCTTGCTCAAAACTACCTGCCCACACCATTCACGTTCACACACCTTCCTCATAACACCCTGCCCACACCATTCACGTTCACACACCTTCCTCATAACACCCTGCCCACACCTTTCACGTTCACAAACCTAGGTCAAAACACCCTGCTCACACCATTCACGTTCACACACCTTGCTCATCACACCCTGCCCACACCATTCACGTTCACACACCTTCCTCATAACACCCTGCCCACACCATTCACGTTCACACACCTTGCTCAAAACACCCTGCCCACACCATTCCCGTTCACACACCTTCTTCATAACACCCTGCCCACACCATTCACGTTCACACACCTTGCTCAGAACACCATTCTCACACCATTCACGTTCACACACCTTGCTCATAATACCCTGCCCACACCATTCACGTCCACACACCTTGCTCATAACACCCTGCCCACACCATTCACGTTCACACCTTGCTCATAACACCCTTCACACACCATTCACGTCCACACACCTTGCT